CGTGAAATAAAAGGAAACAATATTTTCCAATATTTTTCCCAATAAAACAATGTGCAAAGAAGGAAAAAAATATTCTCAAAATATTCCACATAATTTGGGTCACCAAACCTAACAATATAAACTAAAGTAAGCTATAATTTATTAAAAGAATAACGAAATGTCAATATCTTAATGCCCTACAAAGTGTATAAAATAAACTTATCTGTGATAATTAGAGTGTTTTTTCCAAAATTGAAGATGTGCCCACGGTTAGGTGGATACACACAAAAAAAAAAAAACCCTTCTTCGTTTATTTAATTTTCCTTTATTTTAATTGGAATAAGGGTAGAATCGCCTGATTGACAAAAAAGTTTCCATCCTAAAACTATCTAAAGACTATTTGAAATGTTGGAGATTTAAATACCAAGAGCTAAAAGCTGAGAATCCATTTGCAGAAAATATTTAAATCAAGGATTCCAACTGCAAATTTTCATCACACATTAGATGCTGAACTCATGACATATTTGATACGATAATTTTCAAGGCTAGATATTATCGAGTCGAGTGGACGATTTTACAACGGAGTGGGAACAGCTCTGAGAGGATTAGCTTTCTGGAATGTTATTCCAAACTTCTCTTCCATATTCAATCCCTTCGGTGCAATTCCCCCTTCAAGCTTCCAATCAAATGAATTCGAAAGTGAACCCAACATTACAGGAACCATTCTAATCGCCAAAGGCAATCCAGGGCAAATTCTTCTTCCAGCACCAAATGGAATCAGTTCAAAATCTCTTCCCCTAACATCCAATTCAGATTCCATAAACCTCTCAGGCTTAAACTCCAATGGATTCTCCCACAAGGTCGGATCCCTTCCAATAGCCCATGCGTTCACCAACACTTGCGAGTTCTTCGAGACAGTGTAGCCGGAGACTCCACGTCTTCTTCGACTCTGCGTGGGATCAAGAATGGCACTGGCGGGTGCATCCTTAAGGCCTCTTTCACCATGCATCGGAGGTATGGAAGCCGGGAAACATCGGCTTCTTCTAAAACTTTTCCTTTTCCGATCACTTCTTCGAGCTCGGCTTTGGCTTTCTTGATGGTTTCTGGTTTTTTAAGTGTTTCTGCCATTGCCCATTCCAATGTGCTCGAGGTTGTATCAGTTCCCGCAACAAATAAGTCCTTCAATAAAATTATGCTCGTGTTAGATTTTTTTTTTAAGAAAAACATTTAACCTGATCAAGGGATATAGTAAAGACACAACTTTATCCATTAATATATATATTCTAGGTACCAAGTATTCCATTTAAGAATGATATTCAACATGACATGACGTCATAACGAACAAGATTTAATTTCAATGACTTCTATTTTCTTAATATTGTTTCATACTGTCTAATCCTCTCAACCAAACGTTGAAGTGTAATCATAAAGTTAAGCAGAATACAAAAAATTAATATGTAAAACGTGTGTGGTGGCGATGGTGGGGAGAAGTAATACAAACCAAGCACAAGCGTTCGATATGAACCCTATCGATTTCTTCTGGATTTTCTTGGCTGGTATCAAGAAGAACATCCAACACGTCGGTGTTTCCACTATTAAGGGACTTCCTTCTCTGCAACCTTTCATTAATCAAGCTATCAAAAAGCTGAATCACCTTCCCGAAATGAATAGTCATGCGACGCAGTATTCGTGTTGAAGACAACATTAGAATAGATACACACGTCTCCTTCTTAACAACTTAAAACTCTTAGATGGGACATTGCTATTTTATGAAACTTGAGCAATACATGTTAAAGACATTATTTATATAAATAGATATAGCTTTTAGACCAGATAATTAACAAATACCTAGAGGGTCTAATTTATCAAGAATAGGGAACAAATCCACCAGATTAGGCTTCCCAGCCTCCACCATTACATTCCAAACCAGGTCCTTGAATTCTTTGGCCGAATCCGAAAAAGGGTCCGTTAAATCCTTAGAGAAAATTGTATTAGACAGCAAATTCAGTGAAGTTCTGAATGCAGCCCTGCCTATATCCACTGCCTCTCCGGCCTGACTATTTTTCCGGCAATAAGCAATGAGTTCTTGCACCTTCCTGACCCTCAAATGCTGGTTGGCGTCCAACCGGTTGCCGGAAAACATATTTGAGTTCAATATTTTCCGGAGGCTCTGCCACTTCGACGCCACTGGGAGCCACACGATGGAGTACTTGAACTGGTTGTGTACATGGATGGCATTAGGCACATGCCTACTCGAAAATGCAAGGTCCTGTTTTTGCAACACCTCCTTCGCCATGGCGGAGGAGGTAATCACCACCGTATTTATACTGCCAAACCGAAGGCACATGATCGGCCCATAAGTTTTGGCCAGCTTAGCTAGAGACTTATGGGGTTGATCGCCGAGCAAGTGGAGGTTCCCGATAATCGGCAACGGCGCTGGCCCCGGCAGCAGATTCTTGCCTCTGGTGGATATTGAGCGGAAGGCTTGGATTAACGTAAGTGCAAACAATAATACTAAGACGTTTGTAAGGAAATTTTTATTTTTTCACACAGTACACACACTAACTACAGGCATATTGGGGAATGCTCATGCCTGTTTATACTGGATTTACTCTCCACGAGTAACGCGAGTGGTTTACAAAATTCAGAAAACAGTATGGGATAAGATCTTATTGACAATATAGATTCGGGAAATTTGCATAAATCATCCCCAATTTATCGGGGGATTGTGTAATTAGTCTTGATTCTTTTTTTCTAGACAGTCCACTCCTTAACCTATTAGTCCTAAAATAGTCGTTTCCATTCATTTTAGGTATGTGCACGCATACAACTCAATGCCCAAGATTTAAATAACATTTTTCACATTAAAACAAAGGAATATACTTGACGCGGTTAGTGGCAGATTGAAGATTATTTGTGAGTTAGGATGACCATTGATAATCAATGGACATAATAGTGAAGTTGTTTATTAATATTTAATTAAATAATAAAAAAAAATCTCAATCTATATGTGAATTCCCCAACTTATCATTTTCTTTTATCACAAATCACAATACACAGATATCAAAGTAAATAAGGTGTCTTTGGAAAAACAAAAACTGCCGCATCAGGTTTCTGCTTCTAGGGTTTTTTTTGCCCCTTTTGCCACAGGTAAATGGAGCCTTTTTCCGACACACTTCGTCCACCTAAACCATCGGACTTGGCTACCAACATAATCTCCTCAACCTCAGCTTTAATTCCCACCCTAGAAGTCTCATTTTCATCCATTAATTCAATAGAAATCAGCAAAGAAAAACAGCAAGGCGAAACTAAGTCAAATGCCGGAAAACCCACCTCCGGAAGGCAATTCGGCCGCGAACCAACACCATCCAGTAGCACACCTTAGGTGCACCTAACCATGGTTTCAATTCATCTCAAACAACAACACAGCAGATAGAATTTCGATTGGGAAAAACCGCAGTAGCGAATGTCGCGAATTCGGTTCCTTTTTTGGCTGATTCCGGCGCCGTCACCTTGACCCATGGTCGCAGACCAACTAGGGTAGCTTCTCCACCCTATGGCGCCCATAACCCAACCATGGGTCATGGTTAATTTCATCCTAACCTGGCTAAATTTGTTGAAAGAATTAGGGTTCTTAGTTAAAAATTCGGAAATGGGGAAATTGATGAATCCTTGTTGCTGTAAACGTTCAATTCAATTAGGAGAACTCCAAGTGAGGTTACTAACACTATGGGTAATCCAACAATTGATCCAATTAACCCACAAAATTCTGAATTGATTTCTTCAATGGAGCTTAAGCGTGAAGGTAGGTCAGGGGTTGCAATTGAGGCTATTTCTAATATTCTTCCACCAAATTCGAATGTTACAACTTCTATTGAGGGTCAAAAGTTTATGGGTGCTTTACCAATTGCAAGAATTGAGGGTCATTTGAGCTCCAATTTCGCCCCTCCTCACAAGGTTGTTGAACTTCCCCCAATTCCAAAGTTGGCTAACTTGGCTTCTACAATTGATATGGCAACCCCAACATTGAAATCTGCTTCTATCAATACAACTTCGATACCAATCCAATTGGCTAATAGCTGGACGACACTTACCTCTAACTTTGAACACCCTCTACGGGTTTCATTCAAAATTGATCATGTCATATGCAACCAGAAATGCACAGAATAGACCTGGCTCTCCCTTGCCGACTTAGAACTCAGTTAAACCATATGTTCATCCATATGGAGTTGCGAGAGCTTCCCAAGTTCCTCGATCTTACGCTGCAGCACTCAATTGCAAACCTGTGAATACACAGGCCTATAGGAGTCAGAAGAAATCATTTGCGCATGTCCTTCATGCTCTTGAGGACTCCAGACATTGTAGTTTGGTTTCCTAGGAACCATATATCCACTTTGGTGAGCCTGTTGTATTCTTTGATAAATTAGATGAGCAATTCTTAGCTGAGGCCTACAGATTTACGCTTGTTGGAAAATTTGTGCATCGCAAACCCTCCATGCATAAAGTACGTGAAAATTTTTTGGATTTTGGATTTATTGGTGATTATGAGATTGGACTTGTTGATGATGCACACATTATTATTCATATGGAGCACGAGGATGATTATTCACAATTATTCATCAAACCCACTTGGTATATTGATGGTTGCCCTATGCGTGTCTTTAAATGGACGCCTAGTTTCAGTCCACATTATATGGTTCCTATTGCTCCTGTTTCGGTGTCATTTTCTTTGCTTCCTATTCATTTTTGGGCTAAGAGTGCACTATTTGCCATAGCGAAGACTATCAGACTTCCACTTCGTAGTGACACTTCCGATCTTCGTCGCCCTAGTGAAGCCAGGGTATGTATTGAGGTTGACTTGAAATGAAGACTCCCTGACAGAGTCTGGATTGAGAGGGGAAAATGGGGTGATTATTGGTAGCCATGTATTGAGGTTGACTTGGAATGTATATGCCCTAGTTACTACTTTTACTGCTTTACCCGTTACTAGTACCACTAATCCACGGGCTACTACATCTTTGCTACTATATCATCCTACAGTTACTCCAAAAATGGTTGTTTCTTAGAGTCCACCTGTTGTTACATTAGTTGATCATTCAGGTATTCAACCTTCGATCTCCGTCAGCTGTGCTTCTATGCCAGTTATTCCTACATACTTTGACCCTCTCTTGATGGATATGCTCGAGAGGTCGCAGGGCTTTAGTAGTATGGATGTGCCTATTGTATAGTGTCAGCAGAATATGGAGGCTTCTCTTTCTACAGAGCAGTCGGATTCAAGGGGTTTCCATCAAGTTGAAGTTCATCAGCAAGGTCCTTTTCATAGATCTTCTTTTGATGATTTGACAGGTCTGGATGGTAGGATAGAGGAAGATGGTTTTGTCCCAGTAAGTCAGAAAAGACATTCGAAAGTTACTGACAATTCACTACCCAGGATGATGACCAAGAGTCGGTCGTAAGATACCTCTTCACGTACATCCAAATGAGTGTCATCATCTGGAATTGGAAAGATGTAGCTAGTGTAGCTACTCGCAGGTGCTTAAGAAAACTTATTCAGCTTCATCAGGTTTATATCTTAGTTATTTTGGAGCTTATGGTTTTGGATAGTAGGTTTGATTTTGTTCATCGTTATCTACATTTCAGCACTGGGTTCAGAATGAGTCGAATAAGATTTGAGTATTCTAGAATGTGGGTACTACCATTACTATTATTGAGGATCATATCAAGTTTCTACATGTCAGTGTTGTGGATCTCAGATTAGCACGATCTTAAATGAACTGAAGACAAATTGCTGTTTGTCAGGCCTATGTTGGGCGGGACTTCACCACATTTCCCTCTCTATCAATGATTCTTGGCTTGTTGGGAGTAACTTTAATGTTATTGCACATGATGTTGAGCGTACTGGTCATAGTCATCAAGATCGTGGTTCTACTAATTTTTTCGATATGATGTTAGATCGTGGCTTAGAAGACGCTGGCTTTTCTGGGTCTCAGTTTGCCTAGACGAATGACAGGGTCAGTAAGGGATTGGATAAAGTTTTGATTAACTCTTTAGATGCAGACTTTTGTAGACAGCTTACCGTGACTCATCTGAACCANAACCGTGACTCATCTGAACTGTACTTTATCTGATCACTCTCCTCTACTTTTACAGTGGATTTCTTGATGATTCAGGTCCTAGACCATTTATATTCCTCAATGTTTGGACCAACATCATGACTTCTCAGCCTTCGTTTCCCAAAAGTGGTCACTCTTTACTCATCTTATAGGAATGGCTACTCTTCGGGAGAAATTCTTTAAGCTGAAAAGGGACTAAGGTGGTGGAATCGAAGGGTATTTGGTGATGTGTTCTAGAGAGTTAGAGACACTGAGGAGGGGGTGGACCAACTAGAGATTGATTTTGAGGTTGATCCTACACCGGAGCACCGTGTCTCACTTCATCATGCACAGGCTGATCTGAATCGAACCTTAGCTATTGAGGAAGGCTTTTGGAAGCAAAAGGCCAGTCTCATTGGGTATGTAAGGGAGATCGCAACACCAGATATTTTTATTAGCTGGTACATGGGCGACATATCAAATCTCGTACCAGGACCATTACGACTCAGGCGGGGGAAGTTCTTACTACTCCAGTGGATATTCAGAGCTCGGCAATCTATTTTTTCCAGGACTTATTATCAGCTCCTTCACAGCCTCTGAGGTATATTCATCCTTATATCATACCTAGGATACTAATAGAGGCAGACAACATGATGCTGACCCAGCTCCCTTTGATTGATGAGGTGGGGGTGACTGTTTTCGATATTTATGCTGATAGTGCTGCGGGCCCTGATGAATTTTCATCTTTGTTCTACCAACACTATTGGATATTATATAAAATGATGTATACAGTGCAGTCATCGATTTCTTTGAGGGTGGTCATTTGCCGAGAGGATTTACTGCTACGTCTATTATTTTACTTCCGAAGATGGAGAATACTTGTATATGGACAAATTATTGACCTATCAGCCTGTGTATGATATTTAATAAGCTTATAACAAAACTGTTGAACAACAGATTAAGTTCATTTCTGTCTTATATTATTTCCCCTCAGCAGAGTGGATTTATCCATGGTCGACGTATTGGGGACAATATTTTATTGACCCGAGAGCTTCTACATACGTTGGATGATAGAATGCGTGGAGAGAATGTTATGCTGAAGCTTGACATGGATAAAGCATATGATCGTATGCATTGGGGATTTATTTATTCTATTTTGGAGGCGTTTGGTTTTAACCAGTTGTGGATTGATCGGATCAAATGTTGTATATCAGAATGTCGATTCTCAGTACTTCTGAATGGGTGACCATGTGGC